TTAATTAAAAAAGATCACAGAGACTACCTGAGGCTCTTAACTTATTCATTGTTGCTCAAGAGTTCATCCAATCTGGTCATACATTTGAGGAAACAAACTAAAAACATTAAGAAAACTGACTAACTGAAGTCCTCTACCTATACACTCCACAATACAGTTAAGCACAGTATTAATGTATTTCTTATCCCCAGGCCCCACTATGAGCCAGGCACATGTTAACCTGATGTCTGAGGATTCACTATCAACATCTGATAGCTCTAGCAGGTCCTCTGAACTCCCCTCTTCATCAGAGAAAGACCTCCTGACTTTGGGTTGCAGCATATCTTGAGTGATTTTATTCCTTGCATCCATACTTCTCACATCTTCTTCACTGCGACTCTTATCTAGATAAAAAGGGCATAACAAAATTCACTGGCAAGGGAAACAGAACTAGAGAGATGATAGACTGCTCAGAGCAGAGCTCGCAACCCCAGGCCCTAAAAGGGAAGTCAGTGAAGCTGACCTGGGTGCTGGATAAGGTACGCTTCCACGAGGTTGTTCAGGATGTGGTTTTTGCAGATGCGCTCCACTGGACATCGGCAGGTAGGGCACAGAGATGAACGCTCCATCCAGCCAGAGTAGCAAGCCGCACAAAATGTGTGCATACAAGGCTGCAAACTGGCAGAATATGAAGGAACAAAGAACACATTTCCTGACAAAATCTTTCAAAGATATGCCACTATGATACTCAGATGACACTTGTAGCAGGCCTACCCAAACAGGAAAGCAAGCTGGATCCCCAACCGTAAGCCAATTGTGGAGAATTCTATCATCTAACCTAAAAATACTAAAGCTCAGTATTAGAAGATTAAAAAAAATCAGTGCTATATGTCTGTTCTCAGGGGGAACAAAGAGCAGATTATAACTTCAGGAACACAAGCAACAGAAACTCCAAGTGTTTGGGTACTTGGTTGGGTAGTATCTACCTCCCAAGTTTCCAAACAAAACCCAAGAGAAGTTTTTCCCAAAGATAATCCTGGTAACTTCATTTTAAGTATTATATCTTTATTGAGAAAATGTTTGAAACTCAGTATAATTCACATGATCCTCCTGCAAGGAAAAGACCAGGTTGCCTGTGTCAGATCAAATCTCATGGATTCTACGGCCCTGGTCATTGGGTTTGAGAATTTCTCCTTGTTGACACCACAAGTAAAAGGAAAATGAAAACCTGAGCAGATTCCGGGACAAAAGAGGATCAAAGTCTACTTTATTTAATTATTTCCCCACACCTGTCAAAGGAGCTAGTGCCACTGAAGCAACCCTAGAATATGAAGCAGCACACCTCACACAGTCATGCAGAAGATCTTGACAGATGATGCATGTTAGTGTCTCCTCCATCTTGTCTGGCTTCACAGAGGCAACTCTGACATCCTCACATGAGGTTTGGGCATTTCCACACTGGTCTGCAACCAATAACTGCAGGTTCAAGTCAAGCTCTTCATCTATAAGACAAAGGGTAAGTCTGAACAGTCACAATCACTTCATCTGAAGACACAGAAGATCCTCAGATTTCTAATGTGCATCCAACAACAGAAAAAACAAAGCCATTTATAAAGACTTTTTTTTTTTTGTAGCCGTTTTTTGAGACAGGGTCTTTGTATGTAGCCCTGGCTATTCAGGAAACTCACTGCCCTAGAACAAAGTTGGGATTCAAGGCGTGCGACACCGTGCCTGGCTATATAAAAACTATTTTTTTAATTTAAAAACTATTTTTTAAGAAGATCCCAAATAAGTCACATATTCCTTTGTGCCTAAATTCTGGTTTAGAAGAACAGTTGCTGACCTAAAAGACAAAGAAAAAAGGGGCACTTAGGATGTCTGCACATATGCATAAGACATTAAGGTAACACGTGGGAGAGGGAGAAAGAGAACAAGTTGTACAGTTTTTTTTTTGTATTGTATTTTTGTAAATGTCATTTTTGCTTAAACATGACTCCATGCACAAAAGAAAGTCCTGAAAATAAAGCTGGTGACTTTAAAATGGTTCTTTCTCCGGATACATTTATAAGTACACACAAAGAACTACCACTACCATTATTGTTTCTTAAGATGTTTTCATGCTGCTCTGATTAGTGTCAAACTCATTATAAAGCTGAGGATTAAATTAAAGGTCCGATTCACCTGTTTCCATTTCCTCAGAACTGGGATTGCAGATGTGTGACATCACATCTGGCTCAATTTTTATTTTATTTTTACAAGTTAGATTTATAGGCTGCATATGATGGCACACTTGGGAGGCAGAGTCAGGTGGCTCTCTGTGAGTCTGAGACCAGTCTGGTCTACAAAGCAAGTTCCAGGCTAGCCAGAGTTACATAAAAAAAGCCCATCTGAAAAGGAACAAAAATAGCATACAACTTTAAAAGCCACCTAGACGGAAATAAATGCAGTTATTCTCTGCCCTGGGTCTTCTTTACTTAGTTTTCTTATCTAACTGAAGAAGTTATTCAGTTTTTTGGGCCATATGTTCATATTATAATACTGCAGTTGACTTATTTTGTTTGCAGTATTATAATCAAATCTGGGGTCTTACACATTAGACTCAACCACTGAGTCATATCCTCAACAAATTAATTTATCAATTTTAAAGGTCCTCTTAATATTACTAAGCAAGTATTGTTTAAACTGCATCTTATGGCCATCATGATGAATATATTAAGTATTCATTACTAAATCTAACAAATTTAGTTTTTTTAATCTTACATAATTTTCTAATCTTAAAAATATTTACTTTTATTTTTTATGTATGTGTGAGTGCCTGCATATATGTATGTGTACTATGTACATGTCTGGTGCCTGTCAAAACCCAAATTAGGTATCAGGTCCTCTGAAACTGGAGTTACAGATGGTTGTAAGACATCATGTGGGTGCTGGGAACCAAATTCAGGTCCTTAGTAAGAATGGGGTTCTTAACCACTGAGCAAACTCTCCAGTCTTTGATTTTCCATTTTTGTTGAAGTTATAATCACCTCATATCAGCTTGTGGTGGCAGCACATGCCTTTAATCCTAGGAGGCAGAGCAGGCAGATCTCTGTGAGTTCGAGGCCAGCCTGGTCTACAAAAAGGGTTCTAACAGCCAGGACTGTCACACAGAGAAATCCTGTCTCAAAAAAAACAAAAAACAAAAAAGAAACAAAACAAATCACCTCATATTACTACCTCCCCCCCACCCCCGCCCAGACAGGGTCTCACTAGCTGTCCCGGAACTCACTATGTAGACTACCAGGCTAGCCTCAAGCTCAGAGACCAAGTGCTGGAATTAAAGGCATGCATCACTATGTCTGGCATAGTATGTTTTTCTTTTAAAGAAATTACTGCTGTTAGAGAATGTGTATGTGTGTGTGTGTTGTCAGAGGCCATGGGAATATACAACATATGGCAATTGATAATTCAGATGCCAACCTACCAGAAGAGTGATGGAGGTTAATCCTGTCCAGGCAAGGCCTGCAGGACCATTGGCTCTGGAAATTGTTGCTCACTTTTGCTAAAGCAGCTTGGTGTCTCCCTAATACCTGTTTTGTAGTGTGTAATCTCATGTGATCTACGTATGTAATCTCACGATTACATCTCAAACTTATAGGCACATATATCAGTGAATGGTCACGAAGACAATTTTTCATTTAGCTATACAATTTTAATATATAGAATACAAGCTTCATTACTAGATCTATTTGTCCCATGTGGACCGTAGACACTTAAAAGCCTGCTTTGTTTCTTTTTGCTCAGACTAACTGTGCACAATTAGCTCACTCTCACCTCAAAAAAAGCTCAAACTAGACTTTGTAAATAGATCATGAGTTTAAAACTTTACAGTTACACATAAGGGCAGAGCTGCAGATATCTAACCAGGTTGCTACACAAAGCACCCTAAGAAAAGCATGCCAATTCTTCACTTGCCAGTCTGCTGACAATAAAACTATGTCTCAAAGTCTGTCACTGGGCACCTATGCCTCACTCCCGTCTGGTCATGGTCTTACTCCTATAACCTTGGAACTTTGTGTTGCCATGGCAATGGCTCAGCTCCTTATTGTTTACTCTAAGAATGTGCTTTTGACCAATTAGAGATAACTCTTAAAATTTCCTTTATTGCTTCAAGGCTTCTATAAGAAGAAGAGTTTTTAAACTAGAGAAGTAGAAAAAAAAAGGTTAGGAAGAATCAGAAAGAGGACAGGAAAATTAGAACAGAAAAAGAATAAAGAGAGTGATTGGAAAAGCATGTAGTGAGAGAACTCGTTCATTCACCCTCAGATACCCAAAGTCCTTTTTTGCTTGATGTGTCCAATCTGAACCCTGAAGAGATTTTTCGGGCTGAACCCCCAAAGGTTCCCGATGTGTGTGTGTGTGTCCATGCTAGAGCATATGTGGAGGTCAGAGGATGACTCTCGGGAGTCAGTTCTCTAATTCCACCTTTATGTGGGTTCCAGAAATTGAATTCAGGTTACCAGGCTTCACAACAAACACCTTTACTTATTGAGCCATGTCACCAGCCCTATATTTACTTTTTAAAATGTAAAATATTGTGGTTCTTATCATGGGTTCCACAAGTCAATTAATCATTTTACCACAAATGTTCAGATAATCCAGTTTCTTCCCCAAGGTATTATTTCTAGTGCTCTGCTATCACATGATTTCCACAGCTAGCTGGCCTTGAACTCCAGTACTTCTGCTTCTACCTCCCAAACACTGAGATTACAGTTACGTGTCACCATATCCTGCTTAAGATAACATTTTTTTAAAGAAATTACTATCCTGTCAAAGATAGTCAAAAATGACATCCATTTGTATACTTCTGCAAAAAGCGGGAATCCGCCACAGGCCAACAGCCAGCACAGCACAGAGCACAAAAGTACAAAGGATGCACAGAACAGTAAGAGTCTAACCTCCTTTTGTCTTTTTTTTGGCAGGCTCCAATTCCTCATTGTCTTCAGTTTCCAACAAAGAGAAGGATGCTTCTTTGTCTTGGAGAACTGGAGAAAGGCTAGAGAGTTCATGATTTGCAACAAGTGGACTACATTCTTTTGGAGAGATGCCTGCTTTCCCAAGTCCTGTAAAAAGGGAGAAATAAGACAGGTTGATTCATCCACTTCAAAAGAAAGAATCAGGAAAGCGTTACTGATTTAATAAAGTACATTATTTAATTAGAGATCTCACATGCATCATGTCTTATACAAATACTCATCCATATGTATCACAACTTAAAGGCACTAGAGTCAATCTCTGTGCTAATGAAGCTAGAGACAAGTGGCACATTCACAAGGAAAGTCATGCAGGGAGGTTCACAATAAGACTGTCCCTAAATACTAGGTCTAATATACACAAGTACACATTCTTGCAATCACAAAATGTATACTAAACACGCCCAAAAGAGGTATGAAATAGATACACTTCTGACAGGAATGGGAAGTATCGTAAAGCAAATAACAGCAATTAACAAGTAGAGTTATCACCTAAACAGATAGAAGCTTAAATATCACATACAACTTGAATGAACTCGATTGAAAAGTCAGGCAACTTTTCATTATTCTCTAGCTTAGTCATACTATTATAGTAAAATACATATCTACTTTATAATATTCAAATGATAAGCACTAGTGTTTGAAAAAGAAGAAACTGGATTATACCATCGGAAGCAAAAAAAGAGGGGTAGGGGAATTATTTCAGGAACAAAGTAACTCATATACTAAAGAAAGAACAAGAATCTAACTTCCCAGACCACCTCCTGGTCCTAGAACCTATCCATCCTCTGATCTTCAGAGCCTTTATGTTCAGCCATGATTTTTTGTTTGTTTTTGTTTTTCAAGACAGGGTTTATCTGCGGCTTTGGAGCCTGTCCTGGAACTAGCTCTTGTAGACCAGGCACCACCATCGCCCGGCTTCAGTCACGCTCTTTATTTGAGAACAAAGATTATATAAAGGCACTTCTATGAAAGGCTCCAGATAGGGAAACTGAACATATAAAAGTACCGTCTCACATCTACTAGGCACTAAGTTTTAACTGTAATTATTTTGTTAGTATAAAAATACTTCAGCATATGGATAAAAAATCTTCATTCTTAAAAATTACACAAGAAGCAGAACGGTGGTAGCACACGTCTTTAATCCCAGCACTTGGGAGGCAGAGACAGGCGGATCTCTGTGAGTTTGAGGCCAGCCTGGTCTACAAGAGCTAGTTCCAGGAAAGGCTCCAAAGCTACAGAGAAACCCTGTCTCAAAAAAACCAAAAATAATAAAAAAAAGAATAAAAACTACAATAGATATACATTATCCATTCTAGGAACTCCGAAATCAGAAGGTTAATAGTCGTATCAGACTACATGCACAATGGATAGATGAAATAGAATTTAAATGTAACAGTGAGGTAGATTTTGAGTGTTTATGTATGTGTGTTGCTGAGGATCAAACCAAAAAATAAAAAAGGACAAGGCATAAGGAACAGGGCATGTAAAACTGGTTCTAACCAACAGACAGCTCTGGATAAACCTTGAAAACATTATGATAAATAAAGAACCCAGTCATAAAACCACATACTGTATGACTATGAACACAAAATGTTCAGACATGCAAATAAATGCATAGAGACATATGAGTTTCCTTTTATGCAATAGAATGTTCTGCAATTAGCAGTGATGACCATGGGCAGTCATGGCACATGCTTTTAGTCCCGGCACTCTGGAGACAGAGGCAGGCGGATCTCTGTGAGTTTGAGGCCAACCTGGTCTACAGAGCTAGTTCCAGGACAGCTAGGGCTGTTACACAGAGAAACCCTGTCTTTAAACAAATACCAGTGATGGCCATATAACCTTGTAAATGTACCTAAAACACTGATTGATATACTTTAACTTAGTGACATTTATAGTATATAAAATATATTTAGATGAAATTACAAAAATACTATGTTACCATGGTACTTATTAGTCTTTTTCCTGGGACTGAAATAAGTCAGTATACATGACTACAGAACACTTACTGATGAATGGATTTACTGTATCTCAAGGAACAAAAACTGCAATTGTCATTGTGCTCCCCATCTCACCAGAGCTAGAGGAATGTTTTTGCCCTGCAGAGGTCAGCTCTGGCTCCACAGAAGAGGTAGAGGCCAAGGGGAAGAGGTCTGATGTCGATGTTGATGGCTGTGGTTCCTCTAAGCATGTTTCAACCTTGTGTGATAATGGTGGAACCTGGAGGTCATCACCCTGCCCCAGACCTGAGGAATCTTTGGTCACATGGAACATATTTTCTTTATTGGCTTCTAAAGGCACAAAAATAAAAGAGTACATTGAGAACTCAGAAAGACATTTTGGGGACTGAAATGGCCATTCCTAGAACTCAAAAGCCCTTTACAGCACCTAGGCTTTTGCCATAAGGTCACTTACCAAAGGATTCTTGAGGCAAGCTTCGTTTTTCATTTAAAGATTCATAGAGGTATGCCACATCTAAAAGGAAATTAATCAAATTAGGGAGTGGTGGCCCCAGTGGAAAGTGAGACCTCATCTCTCCTGTTCACCTTTGATCACATCACAACATGTCTTGATTATCTTCACTTACCATCTAGCAACATTCAACAGTTTAAGTGATTCTAACAAAATCAAACCACAATTTTACCAACCTAAATATAAGCAAACAACCAAAGGGAAAAATAGTTGCAGAAAACAGACAATGGTTAAAAAAAAGACATGCTTCACTAATAACTGCAAGCCATTAGAAGGAAAAGATTTGAGTTCCTTCTATGAGGCAAGAGGTGCTTTACTTTAAGAGGACTTAAGGAATATTAGTGGCCTCTTTTTCCTTCCTTACCGAGTTTATGGTGCTTTTCAATTATTTCAGGGTGACTTTCAAAGATTTTTTACAACTCTCCTTATCCTATATGGAACTGGTCCAGTCTAACCTTTTGTTGCTTTTTGTAAAGTCTCCAAGAGTAGACCTAGCAATGGTTTCCAGGGCCCCTATCTGGATTTTATTTCCACACTCCAATTTTTATTTCCACACTGCCAGCCCAGCCCATTTACTCCTCCTTAGCTGCCATTATTAGATGTGAGGCTCCTGCTGGCATTCTTGAAGAAAAGCTGTGCCCCAAAAGTCAGCACTCCATCCAAGTACATACAACAAAAACTCCATAATTGTCACTTTCTATAAAAATGTTTGCTTCAACATGTGTTCTTTCTGAGGGTGTTTTCCAGCCTAAGTTGGACAGCTTCTTGGTGCAACACCTGGGAAAAGTATCTACAGCAGTAAATTTTTCTCTTACTGTGTTCTGGTTCATTCTTCCTGTATACCAAATAGATGACATCCCCACTCTGCAAAGGGTAAGTCTGCTTCTTAACAACTTGCAGTTTGTTGATTACTGTTCCATTGGTGCTGTAAAGAAAACAAAAGTGTAAGTTGCCCTACTCAAAATAACTAAGTAGGGTTAACATCTTTCTGCTACTATTAAGAAATCTGCTCAGGATTACCATTTTGAAAATACTCCGAAGGGAAAAGAAACTAACTGGTAGTGGCAAACACCTGGAATCCCAGCACTTGACAGGCAGAAGCTGCCAGACCTCTGTGTGTGGCATAATGTCCCACTGGCCTGGTGCCAGAGGGATAGCAAGCAACCTCCACTAGACATGAAACCCTGCTGGCCTATACCTGGCCTAGCTTTGGAGTTTTCACTCAGCTCCTAATCCATCATTTGTGTTACAGATACCTTTTGTTTCCCTGTGTGAATCTTGTCTGAGAGTTTCCCATGGATACAAAGCCTATGCAAAACTTGGTTTAGAGGAAACCCAGAAAACCTTGGTACCTCATGAATTAGGTATCTGCAGCTGGCATTGTGGTTTTGGAAACTTCATTCAGTTTGTTTTGAGATAAGGAAATCTACTAGCTAAAGTGTAAACATAGGGAAAAAATAAGGATGCTAAGAGGCAAAGGGAAAGTGCTTCAGTTTACAGAGACTGAGCCCCCACAACCACAGAGGCTAAGTTCATTCTCATGTGTCTCTGAGTCTTCATTTCATGGACCCATGTTAACCCACACACCAGTACTGAGTTACATGTGACACCTGTGAGTTCAATGCCAGTCTGATCTACAAAGTGAGTTCCAGGATAGCCAGAGCTGTTACATAGAGAAAGCATGTCTTTAAATAATAATAATAATAATAAACAAAAAAGAAGTTACTTAACCATTTCATATGAGTTTCACATAGGCATATACACTGCCTGATAGTACTCTAAGACAAAAAACTTGCCTGTTACTATCCACTTACTTGTAGCGATATTTCATTTGTATCTTAATAAATAGTTTGCCTGAAGAACAAAATGCAAAACAGCCACACTAGTCAGCATACAGGCCAGGCAGTGGTGGCACACACCTTTAATCCCAGAAGTCATACTAGCTAGCCATAGAGGCCTGGCGGTGATGGTGGTGCATGCCTTTAATCCCAGCATTAGAGAAGAATATAAGGCGGGACGAGACAGTAACTCGTTCTTTTTCAGTCTGAAAATTTTCTGAAAGAGCTCTCTAGTGGCTTGGCTGCTTTTGCTTTTCTGATCTTTAGGTTGAGCCACAATATCTGTCTCTGAGTTTTATTACTCATGCTAAATTTGGCACCCAACGTTTGGGGTATGAATTCACGAAAAAGACACCAGTAGAGGCCAGAGCTGCACATGGGGCTCCTGCCAGAGTTGCATGTCAGGTTCCAGGCCAACCTGGCTAGGCTTTCTTTTCTTTTTTCCCCAAGCCTCTGAGCAAGTTTGGGATTTTCCGGTAGCCTCTCTGAAACAGTTTCCAGCTGCCACCCAAAATCTAGAAGCACCTGGGCTCCAAATGTCACAGAACTCACCAGCACTAGACTGGCTGGTTCTGCCTTCATGCAGTCCCCTACCACACAAGCTTTCTTCAAACAATCCCCTGTGTGTTTTCAGACAACCCCTACCACCACCACTGTGGGTTGCAGACTCTAACTGAACACGCTTCTTGGGCTGCTGCCAAACTAGGTAGCTGCCTTGAATTCCAGTCAGGCATTTACTGTTCCACACAACTGCAATCAGCCTCAAGTTTTCATCAACACTGTCAGTAGATTTGGTAAGAAAATTGGGAATTCTTAAAGAGAGGAATTAGTGAAAAGACAGTTTTTTTTCTCACATAAAATAAAGAGGGAAAGCTGGGCAGTGGTTATGCACGCCTTTAATCCCAGCACTTGGGAGGCAGAGGCAGGCGTATTTAAAGACCAGCCTGGTCTACAAGAGCTAGTTCCCAGCTAGGACTGTTACACAGAGAAACCCTGTCTCAAAAAAAAAAACAAAACAAAATAAAACAAAAAGAGGAAAAAAAATCATTACAACGGAGGGATTTGGGTCTCTATATGATAATATGCTAGGCAGTTTGAAAACTGAACAATTAAAGGAGAGAATATCTAATTTAGATGGGATTTATGTAATGTCAATTATAAATATTATCAGATTTATCATTTTTGTCTTATCACTAAAAAAGTTGGATACAGGCCTTAGAAAAACCTAATAAACCAGATCACAAAGATATTCAAATCCAGAAAGAGGAATTTAATGGAGAACCAATTTTAGTGTTGCATTATAAGAATAAAGAGGAATAAATAAGAATAAAGAATAAATAAAGCCTAAGGTTTTCAGACAAACAACCATAATATATCCAGAAACCTTAGGGTACTGCCAAACGGCAGATGCTCTGTTACAGCTAACTGGGCTCCTGTGCGAATGTTAGATTTAAGGAGATTCAAGGAAGCAAAAGTCTCACATGGCATGCATTCATTTATTGTGAAGCAAATGTTAAACTCATGATTAATTTCTAATAGAATTATCCCTAAAGACTGGATAAAATTGGTTAAGGGTGTTTTAGAGCCCGGTCCATAATTACAAAGGAGTACCTGGTTCAGAAAAGAGGCTAAAGTTATTGATCAGCAGAGTAAAACTAGAGGTAGGGAAATCTCCCAAGATCAACTTCTTGAAGAAGGAGACTATGTTACTATAGAAAGGCAGGCTGTATGTGATGACCACACCCTGGGTTTATGCCATGCAGCAGCTTTGAATGCTTGTGAGGGAATTGGAGGAACAAAAAACTGGGTCATCTACTAAAGTTATACAGGGCTCAATGGAAGCCTTTATGGATTTCTTACAAAGATTGACTTCAGCAGTAAATAAGAATGATACCAAATTCAGAAGTTTGACAAATAATAACTGAATCTCTGGCTTTTGAAAATGCCAATTCTCTATGCAAAAGGATAATTAGGCCATTAAAGGCAAGGTCAGCACCTTTGGATGAATGGATCAAAAATACAATTAACATTGAATCTTATGAACATGATGTTGCATGGAGAAGAGAGGTGACTTCCAGAGGTTTAAGGAAAAGTAAAAATGTCCAATATTATAAGTGTGGCAAGCAAGGTCGCCTTAAAAGGGATTGTAGACAGGGCGTTCCTAGAAACAATGTTTTTTTTTCTAAGAATAATCCAATTAGAATGTCCCTTCTGAATTATGCAGAAGGTGTGGCAAAGGCAGGCATTGGACCAATGAATATAGGTCAAAATGAAATATTCAATGTAATCCTTTGCCATCAGAAAACTCCGTAAGGGGCCTCTCACAGGCCCCTATGCCAACTCCAGTTTAGTCATTTCCTGCAATGTCCCAGTAAAACTGATAAAACAGTATGCAGACGACAATGTTGATACAATCATAACTGGCCTTCTACAACCAAGCATCCACTAATTGTCATTTTCATACTCTTTCTCAACAAATGAACTCCTGCTCTCAGATTAAAATCCAAATACTCTGCTGTAATTTCTACTTATGACTTCTACCTACCCAACCTGTCCTTGTGCCTCTGGCTTGCCTACTTGCTTCTCCTCCAACCCACCTCTGCTCCAGAAGGCAGCACCTCTGACAGGAGATTGTCCAGAAGAAACCTGTATCCAGAAGGAACCTGCCCACTAAAACCCAGCAGTAGATGCCAATAGCATCTTTAAAGGTTCTTTGTTTCATAATGTTGTGTCAGGGCTTTTATTATTATTTTTCTCTCTTTTTTATTTCTACCATACATGTCCTTTGCATACATATTATGGCTTCTGGTTTTGTATTTTTATGGGATTCCTGAGTGTGCAAATAAATGTGTCTCTGTGTTTGTATCTTTTTACAGTGCTTTTTCTTGGGGTTTCTTCCATCTAGTTTATTATTCCAATTTGTTTGTTTTTGTTTCCTCTTACTATATTATATTTTTATTATTATTGTTATTTATATGCATGTTTTCTAATGAGAGACAGAATGGGGTGGAAATGGGAGGGTAAGTAGAAAGAAACTGGGAGGAGTAGAGGGAGAGGAAACCATAATCAGAATATACTGTATGAAAAAAAATCTATTTTCAAATAAAGAAAAAAAACTATCAATATATTTTAAATCTTATTTCTGAGTCATATGAGCCATATTTGATTTAATTAGGAAAATGAACTATAGGAACTAAACCACACCCAGGATCCCATGCTGGATACTAGAGAATGTACATCCTGATGACTTCAGAACCTGAGCAGCAGTTTAGAAAAAGGAAGCCTCTCTTACACTGTAACAACATGTCAGCTTCCTAAGTTACAAAAGGAAAGAGAAAAATAAAGTGCTCACCTGGTATCTTCCAGTGTCACTTGACCAGATTTTTTATCCACTGTAAGTTTACAGTGGTCTCCAGAGACCAGTTTATTGCTGGGAAAAGAGAGGTCACAGCCTGAAACAAGAGGCAAGAAGACACTGAACATTACTGTGGGTTCTGTGAGAACTACTGCCTTGCTTTTCGAGTCTGTGACCAACTGTGCCCACAGACACAAACAACATTTAAATAATGAAGTGTTAACCTAAAGTAAAGGGACAGGGTGTATGTCCCAAACCTTCCTGTACTAGGTCACCCGGGAGACAGCCATTATAACAACAGCTTCTTTATGACAGATTACCATACAAACAGCTCAGAAGATAAATAATATCTCAATTGCAAAAACAAAACAAAACAAAACAAAATTAAGCCCAAAGGGGCTTAATTTTAAACTAGTTCTTGCTGGGTGGTGGTGGCTCATGCCTTTAATACCAGCACTCAGGAGACGGGCAGCCAAAGGTACACAGAGAAACCCTATCTCGAAAAACCAAAAATAAACAAACAAACAAATAAATACATGAAAAGAACAAGCTAGGCAAGAATCCCACTACTGAGGTACCTTACAGACTAGGGTAGGAAGATCATATGTTGGAGGTCAGCCTGGGCTATATATCTTAAGATCTATCTTAAGGGAGGGAAACATGAAGGGTAAGGAGGAGACAATGTCCCACATGAAATCACAACCTTATCCTGTTTTGGCCTGTGCTTTGACTCCATCACGGACCTATGGACTTGGTAATCAGAAGACTCAATACCTCCCATCCTTAGCCCACCAAGTTTTATTGGCAAGGAAGGGAAAAGACCCAGGGCCAGCACCCCTTCCTTCATCTCCTACCAGAGGAAACCCTCTGTAAGAAAAGAAGCCTAGACACCTAATGACTCAGAGGATCTGCGAGATGAGTGTCTAACACACTGGCCCTTAACCAGGCTGCATAGATGGCAACATCTTGTTCCAGTCACCATATGATGTCCTAGAGCTGCTGGCACTCCTGGATATCAGCATACATGTTACCCAGATGGGCTTAAATATAGCTGATCATTACCTAGATCTGTGCCAACTAGAATCTAAAGTGGACTTCTGCTTCTGTTAGCATGTCTTCCAGGAAAGCTTTGATGTCAAGCTACAATTGAAGCTGTATCTCAAGATTCTGGAGGATATGTTATAGGTCAGTAATCTAAGACTTGCTCACGTGGTGTTACTTCGTATGACAAGCATCTCAAAGTTCAGCCAGTTTGATCAGAAATCAGTTGTTCATTCTTCCAGTTCTTCTCTGCCACAATCTAATACTACCTTGTCTCTTTATATCATGGACAAGTCGATGCTCAGAGTGGCATACATGTCCATACCAGCCTGACCAACCACAAGATGCTTTATGATTCTCTAGGTATATCAGTTTTTTCTCTAGGTTTTGCAACATACATCTCTAGATTATTCATAATCAGTTCACTGATGTTGATCTTCAGGCTCAGATACAGAATCTGATCTAATGCATCTAAAATTTGATTTAGAAATCACCTGCAGCTAAATAGGTGCTGTCTACCTCTGGACAAATCTAGACAAATCTGCCAATGAAGGCAGCAAGAATCTTGTCCTAAAGGTCCTCCACGGTCTTGAGGTAGTGTTGATGGTCACAGAAGATCCCAGCCCCTACTTTTGGTGTTAGCCTCGTGCTCAATATGGTCTGACAGTCACATAGGGTCTGAGATTCTACATAGGGACTTTTTCATTTCTTGCCAGTAGCTCAATAGACCCAGCGAAAGTGCAGGCATAATTTAGCCACCATAGAGGAGGATGAGGATATGAAAAGGGTAGAAGACGCAGACAAGGTTTGGCCCAGCTAAGGCCCCATGGATACTGGGTTCATAGAAGCACTCCTATCCTCAAATGTTCTATCTAGCGTCCTAAAGGAGGAAGTATCTGACAACTAGTGGAAGCTGAAGGAAGTCATGGTGAGGGCAGAAAGCCAATGACACTGGCTTGAGCAGATGAAGAAAGCAGGAGTTGAAAGATCCCTGTGTTATTAAGATACAACTTCTTTTCTAGCATTCAAAGTCAATTCCATTCAAAATTCCATAAAACTTTTAATGTGGATATCAGAGGACAACCTCTGGGTGTTAGATCTAGCTTTCCACCTAGTGTATTAATCAATTAGTACAATATCCTTTACATTGTTAGTGATATTAATACATTCACTGAAAGCATTTCTGTGATAATCAGATTTTTGTTTCTTGTTTTAACATGCATGAATTATGATATGTATATTATAATAATGGGCTCTCTAATGCATGTGTGTGCACTTATGATCATATGTTTGCAGAGGTAGATGTCACATATCTTCCTCTCTCGCTTTACATCTTATTTTTTGAGAAAGGGTCTCTCACTGAACCTAGCGCTCAAGAATTCTGAAAAACTAGTTGACCAGTAAATTTAAGAGATCCTTCTGTTTCTGCCTCCCCAAACTAGGATTACAGTCATGTACCACCATATTTAGCTTTTTACATAGGTGCTGGAGATCTGAACTCAGGTCCTTAAGCACTTAACCACCTGAGCTCTCCACCCCAAGCTATGTTTCTTATAAGTAGTTCATGTAAGATTTCACCAATCCTCCTAGGAAAAATAAGGTCAATACAAAGTTAATGGAAGGTAGGTTGTTGGCCCAAAGCAAGTAATGTTAAGCTTTATGCATGACTTTGTTCAAGTTCTCAGCTTCCTAGAATCATTAAATAAAATATTCTAGTTCCTGGGACTTTGAGATCTTTTCAGATAGAAACCCTGCTGTTATAAATTGCCCTCTGAACACTGGTTTAGCAGCATCCTACTCTTCCAGCACATTCTTTGTTTTCATTTGTCTCAAAGCATTTTTGTTTGGTTTTTGAGACAGGGTTTCTCTGTGTAGCCCTGGCTGTCCTGGAACTCACTTTGTAGACCAGGCGGCCTTGAACTTAGAGATCCACCTGCCTCTGCCTCACAGAGTGCTAGGACGTGAGCCACCACAGCCTGACTGGCATTTCTTTCCAAAAAGTTCCTGTGGTTTATTTTTTTTTCACCCATCAACTGTTAACAACAGTGTCCACTTTCTACATAACTTTTCAGTTTTCCTTTTGTTATTGATTTCTAATTTCATTGTATTGGGAAAGAGAAGTGTACAGTAATACACACAAGATCGTATTCTAAAGGACAAGTTTACGGATCTACTTTATAAAGTTGTAAGAGAACTGAAAAATATTCATCATCAAACAACCTGAGGATCAACGCCAGAGACAAGTAAGTAACTAAATAGCAGGTCATACTGGAAAGCACAGTGCACCCTCCTCCCCATTCTGGTAGTCTCTGTACCGCCAGCCCTGTACTTTTCCCACCTCAAGTTCCCTGCCGGTTCCCCCACCTGAACCCACTTCAATGCCTAGGTCTTCGATCCTGCTGTAGGCCCTCAGTCTCTGTTCTCGGTGGGGTACACCCTTTGGGTCCCTAGCCTTAATCCCTGTCCACCCCTTCAGCCCTTATTCTCACTCCACTCTGGCTTCCGCACCTCTCTTCCTTCCGATGGTCCACTCGCGTTTCCACAGAAGGATTTGCGGTTCGTCCTCCTCCGCGCCTAGACGAAGGAGCCTCCCCCAGGGCTCCTGCGGTAGCTGCTGCTCATCTTCCACTGGTAGCTCCATAGGACTCACATCTACAGATACCCGGAAACGCTGGCTCAGGGACTACCTCGCAAGCTCAGCACCGCCGCCAGCTCGCCGGTCGCCGCTCCCCCAGCCGGGACCCCTCCCGCCAGCCAACTTACCCCCCGCCCTGCGCGGAGCCCGGAACCGGCCACACAACCTCCGCCGCTGTCAACAGACATCTCGGGTCCCTCAGCTGATCCACAGGAGGCGAGGGCGGGGCCTATAGCAGTACGCCCGGCGATTGGCTGGCGGCGGTGCCCACAGAGAGCGACGGCTAGAGCGGTGCCAGGAACAGCTATCCGGAGTGGGAGGGCCCGGGCGATTCGAGCCTGCGCAGATAAAAGGATGCGCAACTGATTGCCATCTTTGATGCTGGCACGCTAATTTACTGGTCTGCAAAGCACGGAAGTAGCTGTGGAGGGCGCCATCTTCTATTGAAGCAAAAAGGATCGAGTATCTTCTAAATTGGAAAGCCCTTAAAGCCTAGCATGTAATACAATTACGGTTTGCCGGTTAACTTGTAGCAAGATAAGGTAGTATTTTCACACACCAGATCATAAAATAGGGAATTTTGGTATACTGGACGAGCCCTTCGCAAGGAGCGCAACAAAGGTGTCAATCAGAATACTGTAAGTTGTCTCTGACTTGTGATATCTTTCCACGCTAAATCCTGTTTCTTAGACTCTCTGGTCATTCCACTGCTGTATCCCAAAGTAGGATGCACAAGCATGTTTGTGGCCCTTGCTGAAAGTGAGACATCGGCAAAAACAATGCCCAGGAAGAAGGAAGTCACTGACGACAGATTCAAGTCCACTTAGAGGTACTTTAGCCTTAAAGGAGTACCTAGCACTCAGGAGGCAGAGACAGGTGGATCTCTATGAGTTTGAGGCCAGCCTGGTTTACAAAGCAAGTTCCAGAACAGGCTCCAAAGCTACACAGAGAAGCCTTGTCTCCAAAACCAGAAACAAACAAACAAAACAAAACGAAAAGAAAAGAAATACGTGCTCACTTCGATAGCTCATATACTAAAACTGGAACGATACAGAGAAGATTAGCATGGCCTCTACGCAAGGATGACACGCAAATTCGTGAAGCGTTCCATATTCAAAAAAAGAGAAAAGAAAAGAAATACAAGAAAGTATCATACAGCTAGGAACGTAAGAGTTTCACCTAAGAAGCTACATGGATCGCGGTTCAGGTTAACAATGAAGGAAAACAATTGAGTCTCGGAATCTAGACTGGCTTGAATTTTTTTTGATCTTGATGTAGAAAGATGCACTCATAGATTTGGTATGCATCACAGCTGAAACAAAGCCTGAGAATGACCTCAGGTTAGATTAAGACATTTTGATAACAGCTTTGATGTTAGGAGTCAAAAAAGCAAAGCTGACCAATTTTTACTAGCTAGTTTATTTTCCTTTCCAGGATTGGTTGGTGATCAAAGACGATGAGTAATTCTTTGTACCCATTTCTGCTCTCAATCTCCTGATATAAAAAGCTATTGACGAGTGGGTATACATCCTAAAAATTTAAAGTAGAGCTGAATGATTGTTTTTCAAGTATAAAAGTTTAGGTTTGTGATTCCTCTAAGATTCCTTATAAGATTACCTTTCAAGTTAAATAAAATGATTGGTCCTTCTTTGTAACTGCAAAATGCAGCCTGCCAGCCAAAGAACTGGCTAAGAAGAATACCTTGCTTGCTTACACTCTGAGCTTGGGTATGAATATACATGGGTTCTTGGGGATAATTTGTTTTACACCTGTAATATGTAAAATGTTTAATTATGTAGGGATATGGAAACTATGCTGTGTTTCACTTGTATTCATTGTAATCATTCACTTGTAAATAGAATGTAACCACATTGTAATTTTTATATTGCTTGAAAGATTTGGGGGGGTATATAAGCTGTAAGGGAAAGAATAAGGATAGAGTTAGAAGGAAAAAAATCAACAATGAGAGAATTAGGAAGAAAACCAGACAGAAGGGACATTTCTGAATATAGATAAGAAAAGAGAATATAAAATGGGCGATGGTGGCATATGCCTTTAATCCTAGCACTGGGAAAGCAGAGGCAGGCAGATCTCTTTGAGTTTGAGGCCAGTCTGGTCTACAGAGTGAGTTCCAGGATAGACTCCAAGGCTACAGAGAAGCTCTGTCTCAAAAAACTAAAAAAGGGCTGGAGAGATGGCTCAGAGGTTAAGAGCACTGGCTGCTCTTCCAGAAGTCCTGAGTTCAATTCCCAGCAACCACATGGTGGCTCACATCTGTAATAAGACCTGATGCCCTCTTCTGGCCTGCAGGCAGAATATAGGGAGCAGAATACTACATACATAATAAATAATAAATCTTAAAAAAGTTTAAAAAACATAAAAAGGAAAGAAAGAGAATATAAAACATAGAGAGAAGAAAGAATACAAAAGGACACCACTGAGAGTGTGAGTTTCTCCTTACCCCTCAGATAAAAAAGCCATAGTATGCCAACTGTATGGATTCCCTTTGAGGCCTGCACTGCTGGAGTTTGGTCCCCCAGGCAGCAGAATAATGTTTATGTTAATGCTCATAGATTGCTGCTGCTTTCAGCCATGATCTAAGAAGTCTCATTTTGTCCAGTGGATCGCACTCACTGCAGAAACTTATAATTTGTCAAAGCACTAAGGTCAAGTTATCTGAAGCACGGTATCTGCTGAAACTTGCATGGAAAGCATACTTAGGTGTGACTTATTTGAATTTTATTCTTTTAATTTAATCAACAAAGTTACATTGCCTCATAAATTGTAGAAAGACAAACAAAAATAAAATAAAATTTACTAATATACTCACTGTGACTCTCCCTTCACATTGTTGCAAATAAGGAAAGTCATAGAAGACTCCTGACTGTGAAAACATGGGAAATAGATCACTATTACCAAGATACATACCTATATACATATTTATGTAATTCAATAATGATGTCTTCTAATTATACCTATTTACAAAAATATTTAATTTGCTAATTCCTTAAGGGCAAGACTTGTGATATAGACATTTATGCCTAGACTAGTTGGTGTGTGGACGGTGCTTCATTCAGTTGTCCAGATAGAAACTTCATAAAGATCTTCTCAAAATTCTGATTGGACATTTTCTTTTTAAAAAGAATCCAGATTAGGCCAGGTGGGTGCTGCACACCTTTAATCCCAGCACTTCAGAGGCAGAGGTGGGTGGATCTCTGTGAGTTCAAGGCAAGCATGGTCAACAGAGCAAGTTCCAAGACAGCCAAGACTGTTATATAGAGAAACCTTGTCTCAGAAAAACCAAAAACAACAACAAAAGGACTATACTAAAAGCCTAATGCAAATTAGTTCCTTTCAATGGGAGATCAAGAGAATGCAACATTCTTTAATTCAGACAGGCCTGCAGGCAGGATCTCAAAGTATTAGATTCAAACTAGTCTGTAACTCATATATTTCAGGCTGCCTTGAATGTATGACAATCCTCACGACTTAGCCTCCCAACTTCTCAGATTATAAGTATGAACCACCACACTCATATAAAGGCACTGTCTGTAGGAAATGATAGGGCATGGTGTTGCCTGCAATGGGGCCTGTTTGGTAGTCTGTTTCAAGTAAGTTTACTATTTCTTGTCATCATGTCTAAAGCAATTCTAGTTTTGTTTTACAAGAGCTATTTTTCTTTTTTTGGCATGATTATGGTGATGAGAACTGAGGAAAAAGATGGTTTACTTTTTGCAGATGATTTCTTGGTTACTGAGAGATACACCTACAGGGGCAGGGTCCCATAATAATTAACCTTCAAAATATCTTTAATTTTATGGCATATGTGGAAGATATCCATAGGTATTCTTGCCCATGATTTTAATTATTTAAATATTTGCTTTATGACCAGACACTGCACATTCTTAGAAATGGACCAACCCCTTTGTGAAAATTTGTGGAAGCTTCCTCAAAAGAATCCTCATACTTCTTTGTTGAAGGGAGTTTTGGAAATGATTCCTGTACTCCTCTCACCTATTGCAGGTAACAACTCTTTTCTCATTCTTTCATGTTTTAGCTGGGTTAATTTTGGCTTTGAACTCACCTAGATGCAAACATTATATTTATTAAGCCTGATGTTGACTTTTTATTGCCAAGGTAGAATTATTTGTAATAAAGAATGGCTGAAAGGGAACCCTCATATTTGACAAGCACTGCAGCTTTAGAATTTTCCTTCTTTTTAATTGTTGTTTTTAGTCATGCATATGCAATCCCAACTTTTTCATAAGTTGCTTAGATGAGCCAGAAGTAGCACAAGGCTTGATAAACTTTTTGGTTTTGGTTACTGCAGAGGTTTAGGTATAACTTCCATGTGGAAGCAGGTTCCAGGGCCATTTACATCTGCTCAAACCATAAAACCCTGACATTTGTTATTTCTACTGTATTATTAAAACAAAGAGGAAATAGGCATTAAGTGAGAGTTTCCATAAATGTCAATCTATGTTCTTTCTATGAGAACATGTATTAGTAACAGATGCTCATGACTAGTAAATGCTCATCAAACAAGAGAAAACAAAAGCAAATGACACAGTCAAACTATTAACAATAACATTTAATAGAGACCAAAGAGATGACTTAACAGTGGAGAGCACTTGTAGTTCTTGCAGTGGGCCCACATTTGATTCCTAACACCCACATGGGGGAATACAACAATCTGTAACTCCCATTCCTAGAGATCTGATGCCCTCTTATACCCTTCACAGGCACCAGCATACAGTTGGTGCAGAAATGTACCATAAATGTATATTTATGTAAATGGAGATTGCATTTTCATTTCCCAGCAGCCCAGACCTGAATAATCACACAGAAACTATATTAATAAGAACACTATTTGGCCAATGGCTCAGGCATATTCCTAGCTAGCTCTTACATCTTAAATTAACACATTTCCATTAATCTATGTATCACAATGAGGCTGTGGCTTACTGGTAATGTTCTGGCATCTTTCTCCCTCAGCAGCTACATGGCATCTCCTTGACTCCTCCTATTCTCTCTCTGTATCTCTATTCGGATTTTCTGCCTGGCCTTACTTTGATAAGCTGTTGGCCAAAACAGCTTTATTTCTCCTGTTTAACACTTCTGACTTGTGACAAGGCTCCAGAACTATCTCTAGCAGTACTGAAAACATTGACACCTGGACAACTTATCCAAGGAGTAATAAGTGTGTCTTCTGGGAAATCTCCCTTTCATATTGTCTGCCTCTACAGTTTCTCTTCGGAATTCTTTCTAGTGATTCCCAACTCTTAAAGTTTTTTCTTGATGGTCTTGATAGGAGACTCTTCTATGTATTATCAAGAAGTGTCAGGGGGACATCTGATAGCATCTATCCAAGTTTCTTGCACTTAGATGGTTTCTATAGTATATGATTTCTTTGATTATATGTTTGGTAAGCTGTGATTTCCTGATGAATGTAGTACCACATTGACTGCACCCAGAGTATTTATCTCCTGTATGAATTTTTCGATGCCTCATAAGATGTGATTTTCTAGTGAAAGATTTCCCACATTCACAACTATAGGGTCTCTCTCCTGTATGGATTCTCTGATGAACCATAAGCTGTGTCTTCTCAAAGAAAGCCTTTGCACACTCACTGCATATATAGGTCTTTTCTCCTGTATGATTTCTCTGATGCTTAATGAGCTGCACTTTTTGAACAAATGCTTTCCCACACTTACTTCATTCATAGGGTTTCTCCCCTTTGTGAATTTTCTGATGTCGAAGGAGCTGTGGCTTCCATGCAAATGCCTTCCCACAGTCATTACATCTAAAGGGCTTTTCTCCAGTATGGGTTCTCTGGTGGTGAATGAGGCTTGATTTCTCACTGAAGGAATTCCCACATTCACTGCATTCGTAGTGTTTCTCACCTGTGTGTGTCCTCTGATGTGCTATCGCGCTTGATGTCTGGGAGAAGGCCTTTCCACATTCCTTGCATTTATAGGGTTTCTCCCCAGTGTGAGTTCTTTGATGTATTAGGAGCTGTGACCTTCCAGAGAAAGTTTTTCCATACTCGGCACACCTATAAGGTTTTTTCCTAAGTGACATTTTTGATGTCTTATTAGCTCTGACTTCTTGAAAAAGACTTCTTCACAATCACAACATTGATATTTCTTCTCTCCTGTATGGGTCATATGATGTTTACTAAGTTGTGACTTTCTGATGAAGGTATCATTACATTCACTGCATCCATATGATCTATCTCCCATGTGACTCCTTTGATGCCTAATGAGAAGTGAGTTCCTGCTGAAGACTTTTTCATATTCACTACATACATAGGATTTCTTCCCAGTATGTGACCTATGATGAGTAATCAGTTGTGAATTCCAAAAGAAAGCTTTTCTACAATCACTACATTTATAGGGTTTTTCTCCTGTATGTGTTCTTTGATGAGTGATAACTTTCCATTTCTGAGAGAAAGCTTTCCTACAATCACTGCAACCATACGGTTTATTTATTATATGAATTATCTCATGTCTATTTTGCTGTAGTTTCCTGATGAAGGCTTTCCACACACACTACAAGCATAGGCTTCTCTCCAGTATGAATTTTCTGATGCTGGATGAGCAGTGACTTCCTACTGAAAATCTTATAACATTCATAGAAACTATATGGTTTTTCTACTGAGTAGGTCCTTTGCTGAGTAGTGAGCTGTGACTTTTGGGCAAAAGTTTCCCCACATTCAATGCACTGATAGGGCTTCTGTGCTGTATGATTTCTCTGATGTATAGTAAGCTGTGATTTCTTGTTAAAAACTTCACCACAATCCATACATAGACACCTGACTTTGTTATATGATTTATAATGAGCCATGACTCTTAACTGCTGGTTTTTCTAGATTTGTTACAATCATGGTATTTTACATCACCATAGGCTCTGTCAGATTTTAGATAAAACAATAATTTCTTACTGACCTTAATTTTTTTCTTCCATAGTTACTTTTTGGAATAAAAATATCAAAAGGATGTTTTAGACTTTTTTCATGTGTGCCACATTTATGACGCCTTACTTCTAAATGAACAGTGTTCATGTTTGACTGAAATATTTCCTCCAAAACATCATTTCCATAGCCTTTCTTTCAAGCTTGTCTTGTTTATTTTGAGGACATAGTTCAGAATAACTGGCTAGTCAGCTTTCTAAAAAGGAAAAAAAAAAGAACCTTACTGTATGATTTCTTCAATGATTATACTTACAAATAAAACTTCTGAAATAAGATTATTCTCCTGGGGAGAAGGTAAGCCCTCAAATAATGTATACTAACTAGGTGAATTTCTTTTTGTTTTTTTTTGGAAACAGTTTTACTATGTAGCCCATATAGGCCTCAAACTCAAATCCTTGGGACTCCGGTCCCTAAATACTAAAACTCCAGGCATTTGTTTGGATAGTGAAACATGAAAATGAAATTTTGATGTAGTAGGAAATTTAGAAGAGCCACAGTACTTGGAATTTACTGGAGAGTGATGGCTACCTAGGCTTTGAAGTAATCTTTTATAAATCTCAGTGATTGTTATCTGAGATTTATGGAGTTGCTTTTCCTTTAGGGACTTCAAAAACCTTTACATGACCTCAGTTACAAGACATTCCTGGCAAATCAGTAAGTCTTGTATGGCTGAGAATTGCTTAAGTGATGAGCTTCTTCAGAAAATGCCTAGATCACATTCAAGATTCTGGTCTGTAGGGTGTAACAAGACTTCCCAGCAGTGGCGATGACTGATACTTATTACATCCTGTAGTTTTTTTCTTAGTTCACTAACACTTTAAATTACAAATGTTAGAAATATTCAGTAACCTGTGATTTTCAAGTATATGTCCAGAACTCAGATGCAAAAGATAAAAGGCAGGTAATTACCCAAACATAATATACTGAAAACTAAGACTAAACAAATATAAAACAAACATTTGAACACACTTTACTTTTGAATGATATAAAAGAAGAATACATACCATATTCCTCTTTTTGGGTCTGGCTTACCTGACTCAGTAAAGCATTTTCTTTTCTTTTTTTCTTTTTCTTTTTTTAATTTATTTTATTTTATTTTATTTTTTTATTTAATTTTTACTGGGAACCCCTCCAGAATCAAGTCTCTTGCAAACCCTAAAATGGCTCCCTTAGCTGAGATATAAACCTCCATGCTCCCCCAACCATCCTTCCTCCCTCCCCCCTCCCATTCCCCCAAGCCTTCCCCAATCCCCCCCGTCCCTGACCATCTTCCCTTACTTCCACCCCCCACCCCCCATGCACCCGAGTTTGCCTGGCAATCTTGCCTAGTTCCACTATCCAGGAGGATAACTATATGATTTTCTTCAGGTTCACCTTCTTATTTAGCTTCTCTAGGATCACAAATTATAGACTCAAAGAGCTTTAACTATGGCTAGAATCCACTTATGAGTGAGTACATATCATATTCCTCTTTTTGGGTCTGGGTTAACACTGGTCAAGTTATAAGCAAATACAGGCTACCAACTTTATATCTGAAAGATGAAGAACGTTAATTTTCCATACCATACTTACATTAAAAAAAAAGGTGGCACACACCTTTAATCCCAGCATTCAGGAGGCAGAGGCAGGCAGATATCTGTAAATTTGAGACCAGCCTGGTCTATAGAGCAAGTTCCAGGACAGCACACAAAGAAACCCTGTCTTGAAAAATCAAGACAAACAAACAGACAATCAAACAAACAAACAAACACCTCAGTATCTGGTTGTGGTGGCACACATCTTTAATCCCAGTACTTGGAAGGCAGAAGCGAGTAGATTTCTATGTATTTAAGGCCAGTCTGGTCTACACAGCAAATTCCAGGTTAGCCAGAGCTACATAGTGAGATCCTGTCTCAAAAACATAATAACAAAATAAATGAATAAAAGAAGGAAGAAAGCAATCTCAGAGCCAGGAAGATGACTTAGTGAGTAAAGGTGTCTGCTGCCAAGAGTGCTGGCCTGAGTCCAGTCCCTAGGACCCACATTGTAGAAGTAGAAAACACATACACAAAATAAAAATGAAATATTCTTTTAAATAATCTCTCTTAAGATCATCACCTGAATCACTGACATTGGTTACTTGACCATCATTAAAACAAGTTTTGGGACTGGGTGGTAGTGGGGCACTTATGAGGTGGAGACTGGCAGATCTCTGTGAACTCAAGGCCAGCCTGGCCTACAGAGTGAGTTCCAGGACAGGATGCAAAGTTACAGAGAAATACTGTCTTGAAAAAGCCAACCAACCAAACAACAACAACAAAACCAAACAGCCAGGCACTGGTGGCACACACCTTTAATCCCAGCTCTCGGTAGGCAGAGGCAGGGGAATCTCTATGAGTTCAAGGCCAGCCTGGTCTACAAGAGCTAGTTCTAGGACAAGCTCCAAAGCTACAGAGAAACCCTGTCTCACAAACAAACAAACAAACAAAAAACCAAAAAAAGAAAAAAAAAAACACCAAACAATTTTTTTTGGCCAGGCAGTTGTGGCACAGGCCTTTAATCCCAGCACTCGGGAGGCAAAGACAGGTAGATTTCTGAGTTCAAAGCAAGCCTGATCTACAGAGAAAGTTCCAAGACAGTCATGGCTATACAGAGAAACCCAGTACAAAAAAAAAAAACAACTAAAAAAAACCAACAATTTTTCTTGCCTTTAGAATATTTGTGCTGCTGGCAGTGGCAGTGCATACCTTTAATCTCAGCACTTGGGAGGCACAGGCAGGCAGAGTTCTGTGAGTCTGAGGCCAACCTGGTCTACAAAGTGAGCTCCAGTACAGCCAGAGCAGTCACACAGAAAAACCCTGTTTTGAAAAACTAAAAAAATAAAAATATTATTGTATGTGTGTGCGCACATGCGTGTGCATGCATACATGTTTGGAAATAAAGACAACTTGAGGAGTCAGTTATTTCCTTCTACCATGTGGGTTGAGGAATCAAACTCAGGGTGTCATACATAGTTGCAAGTGCCTTTATTGACTGATCCATCTCACCAACACTTTCTTTTGACTTTTCATTTTTGTCTCATTTTCAATGAGACAGTTTCATTCTGTAGGTCAGGCTGGGCTTGAACTTGTAGTGCTCTTTCTGTCTTAGCCTCTCAAGTTTACTTTAATCACAGTTTGGCATTTATCCTTTTTTAATTGCACCAATAATTTAACCTATAAATAAATACAATTAACCTATATATAATACTAATAATATGAATTGCAAACCGTAAGAATGCTTTATATAACTTTAGAGTGGGCAGATCAGAAGTTCAAGGTTATTCTCTGCTACTTAACAAATTTGAGGCCAGCCTGGAAGACCCCATTCAAAGAAAAAAAATTATATAACATTAGGATAGTATTTTTCCTATTATAAGTGTAATCATTTCCAGTTTCCCCGTAACTATTTATTAAATTTTTTTGTTTGATTGATTTTTCTGTACTTTTGCTTGTTTTCTGATGATGAGAATTGAACCAAAGGCCTTGTGGAAGTTAAGCAATTGCTCTACCATAGAGCTATATTGCCAGATAATCTTTCTTTAAGGATCTACTTTATTATTTTTAATTATGTATATGTGTATGTCTAAGTGTGGATATGGGTATATAGGTCTGGGCATTCTGTTCATGGAGGACAGAAGCATGAGATTGTATAGAGCTGGAGTTATAGGTAGTTGTGAGCCTCCCAACATGGGTGCAAAGGCCTGAACTCGGGTCCTGGAAGAGTAGTAAGCACTCTTAACTGCTGAGTCATTTGTCCAGTCTGGTTTTTTTTTTGTTTTGTTTTTTTTTTTTTTGAGAGAAGATATCATTGTGTGTGCTAGGCTTGTCTCAAACTTAACTTATTAACATACTCTGGACTCAAATGCACTCTGAAGACCAGAATGGATTCCGACTCACTCTTCTCCTGCCTCTACTTCACAGGTGCTAAGATTAGAAGAAGCATGTGCTATCATCTGTGACTTTGCTGAATATTTTGAAGAGAATTTTATTGAATATTTTATCTATTATTATTAATCTATTTGTTTATTTATTTATGAATGAGATGGGGTCTCTTTATGTAGCCCTGGCTGACTTGAATCTTTTCTCTAAATTAGGCTGGTCTCAAACTCACAGAGATCCACCTGTTTCTGCCTCCTGAGTGCTGGGATTAAAGTCTGCGCCACCATGTCTTTTTGGAATCTTTTAAAGTGGTGTTGTAGATCACCATCTTTTGAGCTTAGCAGCCATTATCGCCTTCATTAAATCAGTTGAGCTCATCACAGAAGATGGTTGCGTTGGTTAGTTTTTTTGTCAATGTGTCACAAGCTAGAGTCATCTGAGAAGAGAAAATCTCAATTAAGAAAAATTCTCCATTGAGGGTGCCTGAACTGGCCTTGGCCCATAACCATACTGATGAACATTTTGCATATCATCATAGAACCTTCATCTGGCGATGGATGGAGATAGAGACAGAGACCCACATTGGAGCACTGGACTGAGCCCCCAAGGTCCAAATGAGGAGCAGAAGGAGGGAGAACATGAAAAAGGAAGTCAGGTCCACGAGGGGTGCATTCACCCACTGATACAAGGGGACTGATCTAATGAGAGCTCACCAAGGCCAGCTGGACTGGGACTGAACGAGCATGTGATCAAACCGGATTCTCTGAATGTGGCTGACATGGGGGCTGACTGAGAAGCCATTGACAATGGCACTGGGTCTTGTTTCGTCTGCATGGACTGGCTTTTTGGGATCCTGGTCTGTTTGGATGCTCACCTTCCTAGACCTGGAGGGAGGGGGGAGGAACTTGAACTTCCCACAGAGCAGGAAACCCTGACTGCTCTTAGGACTGGAGAGGGAGGAGGAGAGGGAGTGGGGGGAATGGGAGGGTATTGGGAGAGGGGAGGAAGTGGAAATTTTTATAAATAAATAAATAAGTAAATTTAAAAAAAAGAAAAAATGCTCCATTGTATTTGCTCATAGCAAGGTTGTTGAACATTTTCTTGAGTGATGATTGATGTGGGAGGGTCCAGTCTGCTGTGGGAGGAGGGAGGGGGGAGGAACTTGAACTTCCCACAGAGCAGGAAACCCTGACTGCTCTTAGGACTGGAGAGGGAGGAGGAGAGGGAGTGGGGGGAATGGGAGGGTATTGAGAGAGGGGAGGAAGTGGAAATTTTTATAAATAAATAAATAAGTAAATTAAAAAAAAAAGAAAAATGCTCCATTGTATTTGCTCATAGCAAGGTTGTTGAACATTTTTTTGAGTGATGATTGATGTGGGAGAGTCCAGTCTGCTGTGGGCAGTGCCATCTTTGGGCAGGTAGTACAAACCAGGAGCAAACCAGGAGGAACAAGCCAATAAGCATTCTTTCATGGTTTCTACTTCAGTTCCATGATGAAAGATTTAACAGGATCTCAAATAAAAAGCAATTACTCTTTTTTTTTTGAGGGATAATTTTTTTGGCTGGGAATAAAGTTATTAACTATCAAATACTAGAATTTGAGAGAAGGGACAGACCAGTGTTGCTGATACCAAGGAGAATGAAATAAAGGCTTGATGTTTCATGCACATATATAAAGGGCAATAAACTCTATTTCATATAAACTAATGAAGTGTATTAAACAATAATGTAGTGTTTGATTTAATATTTAAAGGTTTAGGTATGGAATTGGTGTCAAAAAAACCCCCTTAAACTAGTCATGATAACTGATACCTATAACCCCAGTACTCTAGAGGCCGAGGTATAAGAAATGCCATGTGTACCAGGCTAGTCTGAGCTACACTCAGGGTTATAAACTGAGAATCTATATAAGAAAATTGAAAATAATTTAAACTGGTTTGACTAAATGAGATTGTTGCTATTGTGTAGGTATATGTAAACTTCTGTACTTTGTTTTTGCCACATATTGGCATACAGGATCTTTAATTTTATCTACTTTTCCAAAATAATAGTCCTATTTCCAGTTCAGTTTGTAATTCTGACTTCAACACAACATCTAGTAGTCTTTGAAATTTCTGATAAATTCAAAGTTTTATCATGGGTTCCAGGCATTTATAATCTTTTACTCTCAAATTATTATAACTATAATACTCACAAATATTTAATTACAAAGACATTTTCTGTCCTGGGACCTTTGCCACTACAGTTGTTTCAATATTTAGGAACTTTAAATACAATTTATGAGCAACACTTCAAATGTACTCATTTGTCCTCAAAACTCTTGAGACTTAAATTTTTACCCTGTCTAATAATGTTCATTATTTCTCACCTAAAAAGTTTTGATTTAGGATTCCATCACCCATTATCCATGACTCTTTTTTTTCCCGTTAGACTTGTTTATTCAAGTATCTGAAAACACTCTTTCCACTTCCTCCCCTCCTCCCAATACCCTCCTGCTCCCCCCACTCCCCCCACTCCCTCTCCTCCTCCCTCACCATTCCCAAGAGCAGTCAGGGTTTCCTGCCCTGTGGGAAATCCAAGTTACTCCCCCCTCCCTCCAGGTCCAGGAAGGTGAGCATCCAGACAGGCCAGGATCCCAAAAAGCCAGTACATGCAGACGAAACAAGACCCAGTGCCATTGTCAATGGCTTCTCAGTCTTCATTTGGACCTTGGGGGCTCAGTCAGCCCCCATGTCCATGACTCTTCTTGATCTAGCTTGGAAGCTACATCAGGTTTGGTGATTTGATAACCTGTTAATTAGAAGCATAATAATTGAGCCCAATTGCTTAAGCTGAGAGATTCAAACATAAAGAACTTTTTGTTATAAAAACCATGAAATATAGGAGCTGGGGAGATGGCTTAGCAGTTATGACTATTTGCCTGGGTTCAGTTTCCAAACCCACATGGATTTTTGCAAACATTTGAAACTCCAGTTCCAGGGGATCTAACCAACATCTGACACCTGTGGGCATCAGACATGTATGTGGTGCAAATGCATTCATTCAAGCAAAACACACATGCACATTAAATAAATCTTTTAAAAAAAGCCCTAAAGACTGTGACTCAACATATATAGAAAAAAGAAATTTGAAACATGTATTGAAATCTAGTAAACACATCAGAGGAATGATTACTATGTGCACACTAAATTACAGTAGAAATCCTCATCCAAGAAGACAGGCTGCTGCAGATCTCCAAAATCATAGCTCTGTACAAGCTCTTTTGAGTAGGGTTAAGCAGCTGCCATTCTTCCCATGAGAAGTCTACAGCCACATCCTCAAATGATATCTGAAAAGCACAGTCTCTGTTTGACGTGAAGTGACTATCATGGAGGCCTTGCAGAATACAGGCATCCCTATTTGTGGCAGACAACCTCAGTGATCTCTGACTCCCACCACTGGTGTTGTGTATACTCTCTTTCAAGCTGATCTCACCGACTAACAGGACATAATGAAATGAGGTGATGGGATGCTATTTCACAGATTAGGTTATAAGAGAATATAACTTCCTTCTTGAAAGTTCTTTGTCTTCCTGGGAAAATCTGTCAGTAACACTGTAAAGTAACCTTATAGGAAGCCACATACAGTAAGTAACCAAGGTCAAATATTCCTGTGAGGGTTTATAAACTAGATCATCTCCCTACTACACCTTGGAATGACCTCAGCCTTTCTGAACATCTGGATTTATGGGTTACTCAAGACTCTGTTCCAGAACCAAAGAGGTAAGCATCTGATAAAGCACAGAAACTGTAAGATAAATGTTTTTTCTTATACACTGAGTGTTGAGACAATTAGTCACACAGAGGTAAATCAACAATATGACACACTAATATTATATACTTTGAAGGAAAAATAAAATATTATTAAAATTTGTATAATTGTGAGCTGGGTGTGGTGATTCACATCTGTAATCCTAATTACAGATTAGGATTGTAATTAGGAAGGTTGAGGTGGGGAGCCAACCTTGGCTACATAATAATACTGTCCCTGATCGGCAGTGGTGCTTGATGCTCCAGACCACCCAGGGGTACACAGTGAGACTCATTCTCAAAATAACAAGAACAAAACAGACTGCCCCTCCCCCGAAAAAAAACTATTACCATGGGCTGGAGAGTGTTGTGAAGAGCGTGAGGCCCCTTTGTTCCGTCCTACCTGGCTAGTTTACACCCAAAATAATCACACAGAAATTGTATTAATTAAATTACTGCCTGGTCCATTAGCTTTAGCCTCTTATTTGGCTAATTCTCACATCTTGATTAACCCATTTCTATTAAATCTGTGTATCACCACGTGACTGTAGCTTACCCACAAGATTCTAACCTATGTCCGTCTCAGGCTGGAGATTCATGGTGTCTGCCACTCTGCTCTTCTTCCCAGAATTCTGTTCTGTCTTCCCCACCTACCTGAGATCTGCCCTATCAACTAGGCCAAGGCAGTTTCTTTAATAACCAATGAAAGCAACACAAATACAGAAGGACCTCCTACACCATTTCCCCTTTTCTGTTTAAACAAAAAGGAAGGCTTTAACATAGTAAAATTACATATAACAGGTATCAAGCAAGAATTACAATTACAATATTTAGATCTATTTTATCTTTTATTATAACAAAGGAAAACTATAACTATCCATTCTTCAACTCCATCAAAGACTCCATAAGGATATAATGTTACCTAAGTAAACAGGAAGTGCATTGTAAACAACTTCCAAAACTCTAGAATTGACATAGACATCTTGCTGTCTGTACAGTCACCCAAAGTTCTTCTGTACCGTTGGGGCATCCATCTTCGGCCTTCAGGCCCATAGTATCCAACAGACATTTTCATGAAGCAGGAAATTTCAAAGACAGTTCAGTCACTTTCTTCTGTGTCCTGCAGAATGTCTCCCAGACTCTTTCATGAAGCAGGAACCCCGAAGGATCATCTCACCTTTAGGCAAGTTCAGCAGTCCTCTCTCTGCGGTTCTTTGTGTCCAGTTTATGCAACAGTCCAGGCAAGAGCAGTTTCTTGCCCAAATGGCTATCAAACTCCATAAGGAGCCTCTTCGATGCCCGTCTTCCTCTTGAAGTAGCTGGTGCTGCCAGGAGCAGACATGTCTCATTGTTATGAAAAATCCTAAATTATCAAAACATCCTAAATGTCA